GGATGTCAGTCAGCCTACAAATGCTAGACCTGGAAATCAAAAAGATTTGCCTAAAGTCAAAGTAGTAAATTCCTACTGACTTGCTTATTGTCTTAAAGAAATGCTTGCCAATTGTGATTCATGCTTGAAAGACACCGGAGAAGATCATCTCTTTAAATGAGAAGAATTTCCCTCCACAGTAATAGATTCCTTCACTTCATTTAAGATGCAAGAACAATTCAGACTGAAGCCAGCCTACCCTCCTCTCTCAAATTGCTTTTTATAGAAGTGGCATTTGACTAAGACAAGCATGATGCTTGCACCCCATCCCTTGTCTGAATTCATTTGTTTATTTGTCACTTAGTCACCTACCACCGATTGAGAGCATCCTACCAACACTCTCTGTTCATTGTGTGATGTGTGATGTTCTAGTACTGTTCCTCTTGTTTGAAGATGTCTGGGATCCTTAGGAAACCTGGGTATTTGAGAGTTCAATGAAGAATGAGCACTCTTTTGGGTATCTTACTTATTTCTGAAATCACTGGAAATGTTGTAGGTCACCATTTGAGGAAATATGCTGGGATCTGCCCCTCTGTCTTCCTGTAAATGAGGGGTTTCATTTCAAATCAGTCTTCATGACTGGCTGGCTTACTGATGGGCTAGGGTGACTTAGGTATGGACAATTCATCCACAAAACATGTTTGCTGACAAGTGTTGGTAGATACTCTGATCACTCCATGAAATAATCAAGAAGTTTCTGCCTGTTGGTCTTTGGCCCACAAACTGAATGAGGAGACAACGGTTGGGTGGGGGCCATCATAGTGCTATGTGCTCATCTCTTGTAGGATCTAGATGTAAGCATTGCACCACTTCCTTGGTCTGGTATATCCAATATATTTTACCTGATGATTTTTATACACCCCTGTACCTCTACCATCCAATTTTATCCTGATAAATTCATAGGGTCATATACTTTCTATTTCCAGGAATAAGTTAAACTCTGTGACTTGTGGATGGTGCCAGGCAGGTAATGTGATTTATTACTCCATCCACATACACAGCACCAAAATGCAGTTAAAACCTGCTTATAAATTGGAGTCTCACAGGGCAAGGCAAATTTTAAACAAAACAAACAAACAAATCCCTGTTTTATGTTGTATTTCTGTTTGCTTTCTGTTGCTGTCAATAAAGACCATGGCTAAAATCAACTTGGGAAGGAAAGGGTTTATTTCACTTTACAGGTTATAGTCCTTCATGAAGGGAAGTCAGGGCAGGAATCTGAAGGCAGAGGCTATGGAAGAGCTCTGCTTACTCTCTTGTTCCCCATAGTTCCCACAGCCTGCTGTCTTATACAACTCAAGACCACCTGTCCAGGAGTGGCATCACCCACAGTGGCTGGGCCCTCCCACATCAATTAATCAAGAAAATACCCCCACAGGCTTGCCCACAACCAATATGGGGGAGACAATTTTCTCAGTTGAGGTTCCTCTTCCCAGATATGTCTACGTTTGTGTCAATTTGACTAAAGCCAGTCAACACACACTATATGGAGTACCCCAGGACACACAAAACCTGATCTTGACATTATACTTCAATTTAAGGCCGACATTCAGGGCTTTGTGAAGTGCGCATTAGGGACTGAGCTGCAACCACCTTTGAATATCTTTAATAAATGGTGTCCACAGATGCTTCTTTAGTCAAAGCTGTTGGCAAGGACAACCATAAAGCTCCAGAAAACAATTTAATTTGCCCAAGATTTTTCCCTACACTAGTTTTACCCAAGATGTCCCTTGCAGGGAAGTTGGGTAAATGGCTCTCTAAATAAAGACAGATGATAATATTATAATATTGTTCTTTTACTATATATCTAGGATGTCATAAGATCTCACTAATGAAAAGTAGACAGAATTACCTTTGGTCTTTTCAATTAGCGTAATGGGAAATCTGAATTCAGCAATAAGAAAGATTCAGACATGTCCAGGCATGTTTGTGAAACTGGTGGGAGCAGCTGCCAGAAGCCTGTTTGCATATGGAATGAGGGTCCTCTGGGGATTTTTCTCATTCTGAAGGAACTAGTTGCCTGGCAACAAGAGTTTGACCCATGGAGAGGTCCTTACTCAACAGAAGAGCAAGGAAGTCTGAGTACAGTGTGGTGCTTGTCATCTAGATATCTAGATTCATCTGCCAGCTGGACAGCGTGAAATATATATATGATTATCCTTCAGAGAATGGGGAGTGTGAATGTTGAAAGTGAAAAAAAATGTCTTTTTTTACAACATAGGAGTAAAAGGCAGTTCTTCTGGTTCTATTTAACAGACTGACACAAAAATATGAGGAAGGTATCCTTCCCTTCACCACAAACTTTTCTTTGATTTTTGCATATGGTAATGTCACCAAAGCATTCATAGCAATGCATGGCCCAACAGCAGAAGTCCTGTGAAAAACGCCCTGAAGGCTAAGGCAGCATGAAGAATTGACACTTGTGGGATGTAGTAGCATCCAGATGGTATTTCCTTTTCCCACCATTCCTGTTAAGGAGTTCATGTTGCTATTGGGCTAGGAATTGGTACTCCAAATCCAGCCATCTTACTTTCACAATATGGTTCAGCATTGCCACCAGCATGCCATGTGAGTCTCATAGTCACTGCAGAATCAATTTCTACATTTCCTGTAAGCCCAGTCCTGTATGGGCCTGTGAACTAGGCATCAAATAAAAGCTTTTCCCAGCATAAAGAAGAGAGGAGTGATGAGCAAATTGGCAAAGAATGGGCTGGCAAAACCAGCAGAGACAGCTGATGTGAACAGGGGAGAGCTCTTGGATCCCAGACCGACAGTGGGGAGGCCAGCATGGGACTGATCTGGACCCCCCAAAATGGAGTGTCAGCGAGAAGGCCTGGGCAACCTATGGGGCCCTGAGCTGTGGATCAGTGTCTATCCCTGGAATACAAACAGTCATCGTGTGCCTATAGCACAAAGAGGGATGCTCTCTCAGCCTGGACTCTTAGGGGAGTGCCTGGACCCTACCCAGAGTGAAATGACAGACTCTAGATATCCCCTATGTGGAAGGATTTGGCAATAGGGTGGGAGGGTGGGGGGGAAGGGGAGTGCGGGAGGAGAGAAGGGAGAGGGAACTGGGATTGACATGTAAAACAAGCTATTTAAAATTAAAATAAAAAATGATAAAACAAAAAAAAGCAGGAGAGGCTTTGGCCAATCTAACTTACTTGGAGCAGTATTTAACTCTAGGTTCTAAGTGTTAAAGCAAGTAGAACACATGAGAGTAAAGGAATCAAGCAAACAAAACAGCTCTCTACATTTCCAGAACACAGATGTGGCAGGACTTGTGCACAGCTGGAGTCCCTAGGGATACAATGTGTGGGTAACCAAATTCTATGTTGGTGACTCTGTGGAGGATTTTAAGGCCAGACCATTTATTCACCACAGGAGTAAGAGCAATGGGTACCCAAGAGTCGCAGGAAATTCTCACTATACACCCTTCCATGGAAGAAGGCTCTCAGAATGGGTACATCTCCAGCCACTCCCCTCAAAGGGTGGCCAAGATTGCCAGCAGTTCTGAACGTCTGTAATCTCATGACACTTGCAGAGACTAGATGTGACAGTGAACTTTAAAGTACATGACCAAAGGTGCCTCCATACTCCCCTTATTTGTTTGGGGATGGTGGCTCAAGATTTCAAATCTAGTTCGGCCCATCTTCTTTATTCATGTTTTGTTATGTATGAACAGCACAACACTAACTTTTGAGTGTACTATAGATTTGGAGGCATATTTAAGAGACATGTTCATGCACCCAAGGAAACAAACATGGGAAAGTTGTTCATGAAGCATTCATGTTATGGTTGGATAAGGCACTAAGGATGTTCACGAAGGTGACTGGGAAGAGTTTGTACTAGCCTGAGCTTTTAAACGTTAAAGGCTACACAAAAGGTATAAACAGATAACCCTAGAAGCAATATGGTAGTTAACTGAGAATCCTAGTACTAGGTGTGGGTTACCTCCCTAGGAGTTGTTGACCACAGAACTCTAGAAGCTCTTGAAACAATAAAGGCTACTGCCCCAGTTACTTGTACATCCCAGTACCAAAAGATAAGAGCCCATTGCTGAGGATGTTGCATGTCTTGGCTTCTGGATTTTGAGAAATAAATCTGGACTTTAAATGTCTCCCTCTGAGCTAGCTCCTATAGTACCAGAAGTTACTACCAGTGATTTAACGGAGAATTAAGCCCAATGTCCCTAATCAGCTGTGGCTCCTGCATGCTTCACAATGGAAGTCAGAGGCAAGAATTGCCAGCTACACATTGTAGCGTGAGTGGTTATGGGTAGAACCAATCTTCTCATTGGATTTAAGGCCCCCAAAGGGAGAAATTCACACCTGATATGGAGAACTTAAATAAAAGCCTGTGGTCAGAGAAGTCATAGGCTTTGGTGGGGAAGCAACTACTATTGACTGTTGGATCATGTAACAGCTAAAGTCCTCCCTACATTTGTGTTTATAATCATTATCCCTGAGGCCCATGTCTAGATATTTTTCCATTTCTCAATTTTTTCCTCCTTTTTCTCACTTGTATCTTATAGTAGGAAAAATACACCCATGACTTGCCAACAGCTGCGTTCTGGAGATGAGACATGACAAAAGGGCACAAGGTTGGTACTTCACTGCAGTTGAATGAAAATAGTCAGACATCTGTGTCAACTCACCCTCATCCCACCCCAAGGCTCAAGAACAGTTGCAAAAGAGGCAGGCAGAAAGAATGTAAAAGCCAGAGGAAGGGGTGAAGGTGTTGTACAAGACTAACTTCTGAATCAAAAAAGAAAAAAATACAAACCAGATGGGGAGTGTAACTGTGCCTGCTTTCAAAAGATCATCCCATCTGGGTTTGTTGACTGTTTCCCTCCCCCCAGAGTGGATGGGGAGGTCCTGAGGACCTCACCTGAATATCCAGCCACTCCCTACCACCAGCTGTACACAATTCTGCCTTAACTGCACCCAGCCCCAGAGAGGGGCTAGAGGGTAGAGATCTGGGAAGGCTGCTGGTTGGAGGGGCTCAATCCATGAGGCTGTGGGGAAGCCATCCTGCTTTCTGGGCAGAGATTTTCTAACTCAGACTTTTGTGGAGTAGCTACCACACCCCCGTAAGTAATAACTCACATATTCGCTGTGTGTAAGCCTAATGAACTCAGTGGTTTCTGAGTGAACTCTAGTGGTATAGTGCCTTGGTTTGTCATTTGGACTTCAAGAAGAGGATACATGTTGCATTGCTTGTTTCTACCCTGTGACGAGAGAGTTTAAGCAAGCTCACTAACAGTAGCGTTGTTTCATATTTTAGATTCTGGGCTCTATCAAAAGATTTTACTAGAGAAGTTGAAGGAGTTGGGGTACCCTTGTATCACAGTTGTATCTCTTTAAGCAAAGTTTTGAGAAAAGTAAATGCGAGCTAAGTGACACACTGTTGGGAAGGAATGAGGCAGCTCTGTCACACATGATCATCTTTAGATGTTCTCAGTGCTCATAAACTTTTAATTACTGGGTAACCCATGGTGACTTCTGGGTCTCATGGGATTGCTTTGTGGGGCAGTCTGGATGATGTGATAGGTAGGAGGGGACGTCCCAGTTCCCTTTCCCCACAGAGATTTTGCATACACCCTTCTTTTCCTATGGCACAACGAACAACTGTCTTGACTTGTTAACTCATGAAACTCATGCTATTGGCAGGACTGGAAGTGAGGGAAATTGAAATACATTGAAAATATGGTTGAAGGAAAACAGCTATTGAGATTAGTGAGAACAGGTAAAAAGTAGCCGAGCAATACAGCTAACAGAAAGAAGCTTTGATCAGAATGGAGATTCTGGGGGTAGGGAGGTGGTTGTGGTGCTGGTGGTAATTGTACCAGGTGGTAGGGGGGTGGTTGTGGTGGTGGTGGTAATTGTACCAGGTGGTAGGGGGGTGGTTGTGGTGGTGGTGGTAATTGTACCAGGTGTATGAGTTTTGATGCAGGGTGATTGTGTTGTAAAGATCCGGTGTTGAATACTGTGCCTCTATTTGACAACAGTGCATTTATGTTTAAAATATGTTAAGCTGGTAGAACTCCTGTAGAACTGTTCATACCACTGTGAAAGAGCAGGGGTATAGAAACAGAAAACAATGGGGAAAGGTACCAAAATAACTTGATATCTGGCTTAAATTTGTGAAGAAAGCCTTCTACAATGTAGCTTCAACCTATTGGTGGGGCAGCTTAGCAATCCATCATGTTTATGGTAAGAGACTTATCATGGAGTCATTAAGTAAGTAATGAAGGGAATATCTGGCATAACAGAGAGAACTTGGGCTCCCTTCAGATAGCGGTGTGTCGGATCAGCCAGAAGATAAACCGACTCCTAAAAGAGCATGGCTTCATTATGAGTGAAATGAGTGAACTTGCCAGGTCAGGGACAGGACAGTCACAGTGTCAGTCCCTGGCTAACAATGCATATCACATGCTGTTGGATTTTTGCCCTGACCCCTTTCAGTCTATATTCCCACTTAGTGATTCCTTGTTTGAGCTTTTGCTGCTAAAAGCTAACAGTGTTCAGCCACAAGAATACTGTGCCTTCTCCAGGATTTAAAGCTCCAGGTGATGCTGGTGAAGAGCCATTGGCTGACTAGTACCAGAGTCCAGGAACCCAGTTCCTTTAGTAGAGATGGAATGGTGACCTCCAAAGCCATATTAACACTAGGCTACTTTGTTTGGTTTTGATTTTGTTTTTTTCCTTTATCCTCCTAATTCTGTGGCCTCTGTTACTGATTTTGCCAGGAAAATCTTACTTAGTCACTGCCCTGAGCTCTTTGGCTCTGTATCTCCTGGGACAAAAATGGTTATAGTGGAATGGTAAAAGTCTCGGTTCTAGTAGAGATTAATATCAGATCATGTTGCTTGCTGTTGCTATTCTTGTACTGTGATCACACAGTCAGAATACTTGCGATGATGACAGAAGCATCTTGATTTTCAAGGTTTCTATGGGGGCTTTATCCATGAGAAATACTAAATGACCCATAATCAACCCAATTTTACCATGCAAGTGCAGCTACTCACCAACTAGACTAAACTTGTGGTCTACTTACATGTTTTCAAGCAGAGGTGGCATGCTATGTAATTTGAGAAACTAGTTTTGAGTCCAAACAAAAAAATGGTATGATTAACAAAATAAATCCTAGGCTTATACAGAAAGAAATTTTAAGAGTAGCTAGACAATGGAACACTTAGGATTGAGGAGACTTTGGTCTTCACTCTTTCTGGGGAAGTGTGCTAGCTGGACACTTTGCTTCTGAAAACAAACTTCTCCTGCCCTGGAAAGTTGCCTTGAGAATGAGATAATGTATATAAAGTTCTTTGTGGTCATTAAGAAACAATGAAATTTACAGAAACCTATGGGTATATGCATGTGTGTGCAGGTGAGTGTTGATGCACATGACCATATATGTATGTCTGAGACCAGAAGTCAATTATTGGTCTCTTCCTCTAGTATGTCATTGATCCTGGACTTCAATGATGGACAAAGCTGGCTCTGACAGTCTCTCAATGCTAAGGAGCACAGCACACACTTTACAGACAAGCACTGGAGATCTGAACTCAGAACCGCAAGCTCTTTACCCACTGAGTCAGTCCCTAGCTTCTATGTTTCTCTATTAGGAATTACATCATATTGAGATCCACAACCATACAAATCTGTGGCCTTTAGTTTTTGGAGAGAATGTTAGAAATATTATCACTGTTGTGAGATGGAGGGGCAAAAGTTTGTTTATTTAAATGTAAGTCACTAACATTTTTACTTCTGGTAAAGTAAGACAACTATTGGGAGGATTGCTAGATTTATTTATTTCAATTTTTTTTACTCTCTATTGTTTCCTAAAAGCAAACCCTAAATCCACAAGGATGATGCCGGCTAAGACTCCTAGCAATCTTGGAGAGGATGTCTGAACAGGCCTTCCCCATAATCAGATAAATGACAATCCTAATTGTCATCATAGAACCTATATCCAGTAACTGATGGGAGCAGATGCAGTGACCCCACAGGAAAGCACTGGGCTGAACTCCTGGAGGTCAGTTGAGGAGAGAGAAGGGGGATCATATGGAAAAGGGGGGTCAAGACCATGATGGGGAAAAAACTACAGAGATAGCTGACCCGAGCTAGTGAGAGCTCTTAGACTATGAACTGACAGCTGGGGAACCTGTATGGGACCAAACTAGTGCCTCTGAATGTGGGTGACAATTATATGACATGATCTGTTTGGGGGGTTTGGCTGTGGCACCTATCCCAAGGGCATAAACTGGCTTTTTGGAACCCATTCCCTATGGTGAGTTACCTTGCTCAGCCTTGATACAGGTGGGAGGGGCTTTGTTGATGCCCCCAAGGAAGGCCTTACCCCCTATGAGTAGTGGACTGGGGATGGGGATGCAGAGGGCAGGAGAAGGGGAGAGAGGGGGAACTGGGGTTGCTATAGAAAATTAAAAATAACTTTAAAAATCAATAAAAAGAGAGAGGAAAGAACGTAAAGTTGGATGAGTAAGGAGATAGGAATCATCTGAGAGGAATTGAGGGAGGGGAAACATGATCAAAATTTATATTACATGATGAAAGTTTCTTGATAAAACCATAGTTATAAAAGCTGTGCACTGGGTGCCCCCAGAACTTGGGAGACAGATAGGAGGGTCTCAGTGAGATCAAGGTCAGCCTGATCTACAAAGAGAGTTCCACAATAGCCAGGGCTGTTATACAGAGGAAGAAACTCTATCCCAAAAAGACAAAATAAATAAATAAAAGTATATAAAAAAAGCAAATATTTTTATGTAAGTGTACAAATGAAAGGCAGATACTTTCTTACTCTACAATCTAGTGGAATGTAGAAATGGATACATCTTTGATTATAAAGCTGAGAGCATAGTTTCTGACTGAAAGAGTTATTTGTTCATCATGTCACCTGGACCAATATAAGTAGGAAATTTAAGGCTATTAAAAGAGAGCCTACTGCAATCCAGGTAACACATGGAAAAAAGATGATTTTCTATTAAAACTGAATTGCTCTTGTAAAGATCTTTTCTATGTGTCTGTTAATAGAAGAATAAGAAAGATACATATGCTGCTTAGTTTTCATCAACTAGACACAAACCAGGTCACCTTGGAAGATGGAACTCTAATTGAGAAAATGCCTCCATCACATTGTCTCTGGGCAATTCTGGCCAGACCGGGGGGGGGGGCATTTTCCTCACTAATGAATGATGTGGAAAGGCCAGGCTCACTGGGGACAGTACCACCCACCCTGGGCAGATGGTCCTGAGTTGTGTAAGAAAGCAAGATGAGTATGTCATGTGGAGCAAACCAGTAAGCGGTGCTCCTGCCTCCAGATTCCTGATCTGCTCTTACTTCGTCTTACTTCAGTGATAGACGTGATGAGGTTATGTAAGCCAAACAAATCCTTTCCTCCTCTTACTGTTTCCATCAGTGTTCTACCACAGCCATAGATACACAACTAGGATAATATACAAAGCTGCTAAGCTTATACATTTTCAGAAATTTATTTTTCTATTTTAAATATTAAAATATAATTACATGAATGTTTCCCCCTCTATCCTCTATGTTCATCCTCCCTGCCCCTATCTCAAATTCATAGCCTCATTTTCTCTTTTAATAATTACCATTGTTTTGCACATGTGTTTGCATGTGTATATTTTTTCTTTATTGCATAACCAATTAGGGTGTTAACCCCTGGTAAAGACTGCTCCCTGCCTCAGGACTTAATTGGCTATAGTTCATCACGTAGTGATGAGTCCCTGTGAGATTTCCCCTTTCAACGTTAGCTTGTCTACTGGTGTTGTTACCAGCGTGAATAGAAAAGCTATTCATTTGTGCAAGTCATGTGTCCTGCCACAATGCCAAACTTGTTTACTATTTCTAGAAGTTTTCTGGTAGAATTTTTGGGATCTCTAATGTAAAGTATCATGTCCTCTACAAATAGGGACAGTTTGATTTCTTTCCCTACTTGTATCTCTTTTGTTTCCTTCTCTTTGAAGGATAGTACTTTGAGCATAATACTGAAAAGCAGTAGTGATAGTGGGCATTACTCTCTTGTTTTCTACACCAACAGGATTGCTTCAAA